ATCCTGTTCTTCAACACTTCAAGAACTTCATCAAACATCATTTGTAACGAAGCAAGTTGGAGGAAAAACTCTGTTTTTCAAAGGATCTTCTGAAAAGAAGGGCGTCCAAGTAACTGCAGTAGTGAAGTGGTGATACTTCCGGGAAGCTGAGTGAAAGGATCAGCCATCAGGACGTGGAACTGCATCCTGGGTGGCATCTAGGCTTGAAGAAGACGTGGAGTGCTTCTTGAGTGCTAGGAATTAGCTTTGTAACTGATCTACTTCAAAGCTAGTGGAACAGTGGACTAGAGGAACGAGTTGTTCCTTGAACCACTATAAAATATCCGGTGTCATCTACTTTACTGCAATTTATATTTCTGCACTTAGGATATTAACTGATTAACTCTAAGACTTGAAATCTGTGTACAGCAGATCTTGCTTTCAGAGTTATCAGAAAGGCATTTGCCTTAGTATTTTTCTGAGGCTACCCGGACAGATCAGAATCCGCTGCCAAGGCCAGTTCTGATATCAGAACCAGCCTTTCTCTGACATCAGAATCAGACCTTCTCTGATGAGTCAGTTTTGACTTTGAAAAAAAAAAATAGAAAAACCAATCAGTCTATTCACCCCCCCCTCTAGACTGATTACCATATTAAACGGGACCAACACGAACCTACCGTTTGTGGTATAACAGATGGATCCAAAGGTTCGCCGTGAGAAGTCCAATTATAATAATTGGGAACAAAACCGACCGCGTACAAATCATACCCAACTTCGTGTGGGTCTTTAAATTTGAGATTTTTACACTTTGAACATGGACATCTTATTTTATCACCACTCATATAAGCCGGATGTTCAAGTGCAAATTCAATAAATTCCCCGACTCCCTCGAGAAAATTTGATTGCATTCCGTACAATACCGCATCTTTATCATACATCCAACTTCTATTTTGTTTATACATTATGCCTGAATATTATAATAAAAAATTATATGAAATGCAATGCACACAATTTTAAGTAATTTATTTCACTAAATATAATCAACTAATTTTCACTAAATTAAATGAAATGCACAGAATTCACAACAATAATGCACAAAATATACGTCCCCTTATGCACAAAATGCACATAATTTCACTAAATTAAACATACGTTTAATTAAATTTAACTAATTCATTTAGCTAAATTTAACTAAATTTAACTAGTTCATTCCGTACCCTTTTAGTGCATCACTACGTATAAACCTACGTTTAGCTAACTAATTTAACTTAATTAACACATCAATAGCTACGTTCAAACTTAACCTACGTTTAGCAAACGAATTTGAATTAAATTATTTTTGTAAACCTACGTTTAAACCTACAATAAATTATTACGTTAATGACATTTAATCTTATTAGTAATACACAATTAACAATTCACTAAATTAAATAATATGACCAAATTCAACCCAATAATTTGAACATGTATATAAAGTCATTTGAATTAATAAGCAATACACAATTCACAATAACAATTCACAATTCACTTAATTAACACATTACTAACGTACGTTATTTGAACTAATTTCACTTAACATAAACATCATTACGTTTTAAACTACATTTAGCTAACTAATTTTAAATAAATTATTTTATAAACCTAAAAGTTTAACTAATTCTAATTTATGACATTACTACGCTTATAGTTAAAACATGTTGTTAATTAATTAACAACCTCACTAATTTAATAGGCTAGTTTTAATAATTTAAATTGAACCAACTAATTCTAAATAAAAATTATAATTCAAATAACATACCTTATCTGCATAACCAGGGAAAATGATAGAAGATAGACTACATCCTTCGATTTTTCAAACGGATACTGTATATACTGGGAATGAATTGGTGTGGTTCTGCTGAATGAGCTGCTCCTGCATATATAAAAAATGTAGTCACGGACTTAGTCACGGATTTGTCCGTCACTAAGCAAAACCGTGTCCAATACGCGTCAAACACGTGTTAATGACGTGTAAATGACGTGTTAATCAAAGTAGTCACGGAACTAGTCACGGACGTGGCCGTGACTAAAGTTATCCGTACATAATACCGTTGCGCATTAAGTTAAGGGAGGGGAGAAATAAAATTTTAATCATAGTCACGGGTATAGTCACGGCCACATCCGTGACTAAGACGTCGGAATCAAATAAACTTCGCCGGAAACGGAAACGGGCCTATCGGAGGACTTAAGTCACGGGCCAAGACCGTGACTAATTGTAGTCACGGCCATAGTCACGGTCAAGACCGTGACTATTTTTTTTTTTAAAATTTCCGTGACTAGTCCGTGACTAAACTAGTCACGGACAAAATCCGTGACTACGGTCCGTGACTAAACGCGTGTTTTTTTGTAGTGAATTGCCAAATATCAAAATATTAAAGGTGAGAACTCCGGTACCCATTTAAAAAATGGGGTACCGTACCGGTCCACAAAGATATATCATTTTTAATTTAGACTTAAATAATTCAACTGCAACATTATGATTGATTCAATATTAAATATTTGTTAAGATTAAGTTTACGAACCCCATTACCCCACTCACAAATCCGATCAATAGGTAAATAATAAATACTACGTATTTAAAAAGCTTTACCCCATCAGTTTTTATACCGAGTAAAGAACATCCTACTTTCATTCCAAAATATAGAATTGGGAAAACATGGATATATGACCCATCAGGTAGATTGTTTGTATTGGATGACCCAGTCAACTTCAAAAAATTATATATATATCGAAGGCATTCAAATAATTTTTTTGAAGTTGACTACGTCAAAGTATACATATAAAAACCCAGTCAACTTCAAAAAATTATTTGAATGCCTTCCCGATCGAATTTTGAGCTGAAATTTGGTATAGATAAACTAGACTTCATGAAGAACATACTCAAAAAATTTCATCAAAAAATTCCATCGGGAAGTGCCCGAAATGCCCTCGGCCGGACGGCGGTTCCCGTCAGGCCGGCTGGACACGAAAAGGACTCTCTCTCTCTCTCTCTATATATATATATATATATATATATATATATATATATATATATATATATATAACCATCTGCGATCAATTAAAGGGCATTTTCGTATAACACTAGTTGACATTTAATACATCCGATTGTTCTACATTTCTACCAATGGAAAGATTAATTTCTGTATCCCTTAAATATTTCTTTTTAATACTCACATGATTTGACATACGTAACTATAGAAATAGTTTCTTTTTGAAAATCCCTTGGGTTTTCCGGTGTGGGAAATTAACACACTACAAATCCATCCTTTTTCCCAGTTTTTCCATTCTAACGGGTCAACTTCGAAAAGCGATTTCTCATTCACCCGTTATCCGTTTTGAGCGTACCATATATCGAATTGTAGCCCTTAACAAGGAAAATCCGAAACCACTTTAACCCGACCCAAATCGGAAGTGGACCCCACTCAAAAAATTGCCCCAAAATAGCCATTTAATGCAATTTTTCACACATTTTTCCAACACTCCGTAATGTAGTGGGCCGGTGCTTGGAATGGACTGGTGAGTTCCGGCTCATACAGAAGCCAGTCCAGTCTTTCCAGTTGATGCAGGTAGCATAGGTGATTGGACTAAAGTGATTTTAGGTGTGAGAGCTGGTTGCGAGGCCTCAATCCGCGATCACAGGTGCCAAAGTCGTTTGGGATCGAACATCGATCAAATTTGCGATGTGGGTGGATCCTCTTGCGTTGCCCAGTGAGACGACGGGGATGAAATGGTTCAAACCCATTGAATCTGTGGTCAATCAAATGAAAGTCAGGATTCCGGCATTCTGAGTCGTGCCGGTAATCCATTTCAGATCCAGTTCGCTGGAATTTTAGAGAAAAATGGGAGTTTTTCTCTTATCTTTCATACGATCTCCTAAACTCATATTAGTAATTAACACAAAATATTTAATAACTAATAAATATTTATCTTAAAATAAGAAATAGAAAAATAAAACATTAATAGCTAAAATGTTTTATAATGCAAAAATTAAAAAGACTTATTAAGTTAGAATGTTAATTGAAAAAAGAAAAAAAATCGAACATTGGAATGTTTATATTATACATTTACATGATAATTGAACAAGAAATCAAAACAATGGTTTTTGAATAAAAAAGTATAGAAAACCAAAGAAAGAAAACGAAAGAAAGAAACCAACAACTAAAAGCTAAAAGCAAGCATGAAACTTACGTAACAAAAAAGGAATATAGAAAAAGAAAGTAAAACAAAAAACAGCAGTGGGGTGGTGGCGGCACAAAGGAAACAATGGAGAGACCTGTAGTCCCAAACCGTGGAAAAAATGGAAGCCAGAAAAAACGGAAATTAGAAGGAAATACCCTGCTGGAAGTTGTCTTTAATTTCAAAAATACCCGGCTGTACGGTGCTCACCGTACAACCGGCTGTACGAAACAATTAGCAAGGTATTATGTCTAACAATAAATGTTGATCGTAAATTTGTGGATCTACGTAGAGCTATCAAAATGGGTCGAAAGGCCCGAAACCCGCGGACTAGCCCGTTTAAACTCCTTTATTGGTGGGTTAGGGTTGTGAATTTCTGACTCATTTAGTTCGCGGGTTTAAGTGGGTTGACCCATGGATTGCGGGTTTAAGTGGGTTGGCCCAACGGGTTGCGGGTTGGCCCGCGGGCCAATATACAAACATATAGTTTTGACTTTTATTATCTTCAACTAGCGGCACACGCACTTCGTGCGATGTTTGCCCAATTTAAAAAACTAGTGACTAAAATTGATCATGTGGATTGATTTATATGATTATGTGCAATGTATTCTATATTGAATGTGTTGATATAAAAAGAAATATGGGATTTTGTTTAAGGTTAATATGGGAGTTGTGAATTAGTAGGAGAAATAATAATTATTTCAAGCACGTAAAAATGCAAATTTGGAATGAATTAACCAAACCATTTTTTTAAATGTGTATCTGCATGCATTTATTACATGAAACACACTTCAGTAGATTGTGAAGTTTGATTAAGGGATAACTCAATACATACGAAGTATAAATATTAGATATTGTAGTATAAACATAGTATAATTCTATAAGGTTGAGGTTTTATATTTGACTTGTAATAAAACTTGAATATGTGGAATGATATTAAGGTAACTACAGTACTCCCTAGAAATGAATGATTTCTATTTGATATCTTAGGGGGTGTCCCCAATATGGATTCTGAATATTTTAATGGAGTTTAGAATTCCGTCATAATTTAGGTGTCTCCGAGTTGGATATCTATGGAATCTATGAAAATAATGATATTCTTAAACATGATGTGATTTCTATTATTACTTATTTGGATGGGGTTTAATGGATTTTAATGGATTTTAATGGATTTGAAAGGAATTTAGAATTCCATCAGAATCCGGTGTCTTCAACTTGGATTTTATAAAATCCTTTAAAATCTGGGTGTCCCCAATTATTCCATGGATTTCTTTCATTTGGATTTCAACTGATTTTAATGGAATTGAAATAGGAAAATAACCCCAATCCGCTCCACCTATTCTCTCGCCCTCACCCCTCGGATTTTAATGGATTGCTGCCAGCCTTTTCTTCCCAAACTCTTCAAACGCCTCTCCCAACTCTTCTCCCCAACTCCCCAATAAATTATTTTCTACTTGTTCAAACCTCCCTCTTGAAATGGTGAGAGCAGATCTTTGACAATCAAACCACCACAAATATATGACGGCAAGCACCAGCGAATGGACTTCCTTAGGCCGTGAGTAGTGAAAGGTAGCATATCTCACCATAAAAGCAGTATCCAATTGTTCACAAGGTACTGCTTCACAATTTGGATACACCTCTGCAGCTGATTCACTATAGGCACTTCTCATCCCCTCAATAAGCAAGCAAGCAATGTTCATAATAGGAACAATGTCAATAATCAATCATCCAATTAATAGATAGACATACATCTGATAAGCCACTCGAAGATGAGATCTTTGGGGGTGCCATATTTGACAAATCAACCGATGTCAAAGCCCTGAGGTTCCCACAGTTCAAAAACCAAAATCAATCTCCGATGAAAATAAAATTTTACAACATTCCATTAAAATCCATGAAATTCTATTCTCTTAAAATTCATGGAATTCCATTAAAATCTATGGATTCTTGAAATTCCACTAAAATCCTATGAAATTCACAATCCTTAAAAATCTTTTAAAATCTAAGTTGGGGACACCCCTTAAATGATTTTGATAAATTGTATACACAAAACAAATGTATAAGAAATCTTGTCAAAACCCATCGGATTTCTAAGGATTTCTAATTAATCAAGAAACATACACAAAATTAGATAGCATATGAACACTATCATAGTGCGGCCAGAAGTGCTAAAGTGCTATGCCAAAAAATACACTATCATTTGTTGCTATGCCAAAAAATACAACTCTTCAAGTGCTAAAGTCCATTAAAATCCAAATGATTCCATCAAAGTGAATTGAAATCCAATGAATTCTATGTAAAATTTGTAAACTTCCCATAGAATATGTAAAATTCCATTAAATCCTAAATCTATAAAACTTAATTAAAATCCAGATTGAACTTCACTAAGAAAATATTGTGAAAAGCAACGTACGTGTAGAAACTTTTACATTTTACACGTACAAGGTCAAGTATGAAATGAAAATTGTTGGTAGAGTAAGTTAAATGTATGGCTTGTTTGTGAAATTGCTCAACTACCTCTCGCATCTAAAGTCATTTTCTAAATACAAGATCAACTATCAAACAAAAAGCAAATTTTTTGATGTTTTTCTGAAAACTATGTTTCAAGGTTTGACTATTTGAGTAAATATTTAATTTGTCTGTGTTCCTAAATATTAATAGGGCCAAACAACAGGGTGATATGAGGAGAACTATATTTATATAATGATAGGGAAAAATAAATAAATAAAAAATAGAAATTCTACGTTTCAATAATACGCCATTCTTAATGTTTTTTTTTTGAAAAAAATTGTGAAATGAATGAAATGTAAAACCAAATATGGAATAATAACGCATTTTAAATGTAGCTAAACATCAGTGTTATTGTGTATAAGTGAAATAATGGACTGGAGGGATGGCCGGTCCTAGGGGGAGGGCAACAAGGGCGACCGCCCTAGGCCCAAAAAAAAAGTATAAAGAAAATTAGGCCCAAGTTTTTTTTAATAAGTAATCTGAGTAGACTTCTTTTTCTATTTATAATTTCAATTAATTAATTACGCCTAATGTGTAATTTTTGAGAATTTAAAACATAACTAAAAAGTCTTGAACGGAGCTAGACAAATTTTAAAAAAGAATATAAGTTTAGTTTTGATTTTTAGATAGATTTGGCGGTAAGTCAACACATTTGTTGTTGAATCAATAAAAGCACGTCTCTTCACATCCTTTTAGCCTTTAAGAGTTTTTACTCTTTTAATTACAAAATTACCAATTTATATTATTGTCTTTGGGCTGCGGGTGTCTCCCAATTCTCAAACATCATCCCAACTAAACACTGTCATGTTCGGAAAAATACTACCATGTGTAAAATATGATACTGTCAAAATATGACAGTAATTACTTCTATTTTGAGAATAAAAACATGATAATCTTAGTTTGACGTATACAAACGTTTTTAGAGTAATTTATCATAGTTTTATTATACTCCTTTTAATTTTTACTTTAAGTAAGCACTCCGTATAATTTACTGTTTATCTTGGAAATAAGGCCAAATTAAAATAGTATATCACCCATAGGCCCAAAATTGGACAGGACCGACCCTGACTGGAGGCCAAGAATAAGAACCAGAACCGGATTGAAAAAAACGTAAGAAGTTGTTAATAATGAATAAGGGTTCCCTAGTACTCGCCTTAGTAAAAATTTTGAAGTTATTGAAAGTAGTGTGATGTAAATATTTATCCTTTTCACTGCCAACAATTGGTGTGATGAACTTAAATTTAATAAAATTACAGTTATGGGGGTGTGTATGAGAAGTACTTAGCCAGAAGTTATGAAATTGGCGTTTTAGTGAACATAATGTAGGCATTATTTGAGGACATTGAGTGTGGGCATGTTTGAAATGATTTAAACCGTAATATGTGTATATGTGATCAAACATTGAAATTCCGGATTGGACTGCTATGGTCATGCACTCTGTATAAAAAACAACCAATTTATATACAATTGATCACACATTCACACATGCACCCAGTAAGTTGTTTTTTTGTTGTTGGTTGCGATTGATGCTTCTGAAATACTCCCTCCGTCCCATTTATATTGTTCCAATTCCTATTTAGTTGGTCAACACAAATCACTCTTAATTTCTTACTTTATATATAAAAAAATTATCAAATTTGATTCAAGTTTTTTGCGACTTTGTAAAGCTTTAAATGTAGTTTCTAAATATGTAATTTGTTTTCCTAAAAATAATTTGAGTGCGGACAAGGATCTGTTGGCTTTATCGCCGGTCAAACATCGTAAACCGTAAAAAGACAATATAAATGGGACGGAGGTAGTACCAGATTTCTTTTCCTAAACTGCACGGCAATTGTCTCTTTACAAGTTGTCAGATCAGTTTTTTGAATAATAAATCTAAGCATATAATTAAGTGTGGTGATGGTTGAGAATATGAAGCCACGATTTGAAAAAATTGACATTTACTTCGTAATACACAATGAAGTTGTTTAAATGTAGTAAATGCAGACCATGAGAAGGAACAAATGAATGTTAAAGTGGAAGTTATTGAAAATACCTTATCCGTCTTGCTTGTCGTTGGCAGAGAGAAGGATTAAATGAGTAGGAAGAGACTGGACTCTGAATCTCTGCGTATGGATTGATACATTATTTAGCAATTACTAGTCATGATTCACAAATAATCAATCGAAAGGTTTAAATAGATCTTTACTTTTGTACAATGAATATTTTTGTTATATACCTTCTTATACTATGTTGTGAATTTCTTATATTTCCCTCATTACTACTTACTACGAGTAATATAAATATATACTCCAAGGTAATTAGTTTAAAAAATCATATGTTCTTTTACACTGGCCCGCGGGCTAACCCGTTTAACTCACGGGTTAGGTGGATCCGGTTAGGGTTGTAGAAATTCTGGCTTGTCACTAAACGGGTTGGCCCGACCCAACCCACATAAAGCATAACCCGTCACGGGTTGGGTCGGATTGGGGCGGGTTTACCCGTTTGACAGCTCTAGATCTACGAAACAAATTATGCATGTGCCAATTAGGTAATTGCTATGTGAAATTCTTTGTACAATTTAGATCGTTATTTTTTTTTTTTTGAGAGGAAACAAAAATATTCAATTAATCTAAAGAACCATTAGCCAAAAAGGCTTACAATAGAATCAAGAGGAAAGTCAAAACTATCCCTACAACCTGGCAAAGAAACTGCCGCCCGTGCAATTGCATGAGCAACACGATTCGCAGATCGTGAACACCAACCGATGCATAAATTAAGATTGTCACTTATTAAGTGTCTAATATCATCAAAAATAAGATCATTATAAGCTGATCCCGACTCCCCATTTACTCTTGAAACCACCAATGTTGTGTCTGACTCAATCACTACTTTCTTCAGCCCATCAACATAGCCCATTTGACCGCTTCCCGCACCCCTAAGGCCTCAGTTACTATGGGTTCCCATTATGCAAAGACAGCCTCCCTTTTGGCCAAAACAAACTGTCCTTCCTCTCCTCGAGCAATCCATCCCCACGCTCGTACCCCGTTTTCTTGGTTCACCGCCGCATCAACATTATTTTTAATCCACCCCACCTCCGGTTTCTTCCATTTATCCTTCACCTTGCCTTGTGCCCGGCCTGCTACATTGCCCGAGATTTGAGCAGCCCGCCAACTTTCTAACATGGCTGCCCCTCCTGTCAAAACGCCTCTCACTATACACTGGCAGCCCTTCCATACGAGCTGATTTCTCTGTTTCCATAAGCTCCAGCAAGTCATAACAAGTTTGCACAACTCCTCTTGCTCCAAGGCTGAAAACATAGCCACAAACCAACCCCGAGGGACTGATTTCCAGCGAGAAAACGAGGCCCAAGAAGAGCCCAGACCTCCTTTGCAAACCTGCAACTTTTAAACAAGTGTGAGGCAGACTCTTTGATACGTTTTTAATTTCCATGTGTTTATTTACGTTTTTAGTTAGTTTTGGTTGTTTAGTATTTCGGAAATTACACACTTTCGGTGTAATAGTTTAGTTTGTTAAATTCTTGTAAATTGTTTAGATTAGGTTTATTCTGAGCTCAAACAGGTCTACCATCACTCAAAAGACAGTTGGTGAACCCCAAAAGTGGAAGGAAGGTGCAAAATCACAAGACAAACAGGGAAGATCCTGATTTTGCTCTATACTCGGTCGAGTATTACCTATACTCGATCGGGTATCTTGTTGAAATTTCAAATCGGATCGGATCCGAAAACAAAGGAACATGCATGCAGGGAAGATTTTACCATGATCGAGTGTCTATACCCGATCGGGTACACCGACATACTCGATCGGGTATAGCTATGAATTCTACTTGAATATCGATCGAGTATACATCGAATTCGAGTTTCTACACACACTCGATCGAGTATATGTATATACTCGATCGAGTACTCGACCTGCACCCCAAAAAAGCCTATAAATACACCTCCTTTCCTTCATTTTTAGATACCAATTCACATATACTTCTTAGCTCAGTTTAGACAAGTTCTTTCTTTATATTTTTCATCATGTTTGGTCTCCAAATGAGGAGCTAAACTCTTCCATCTTGGTTTTGCTACTTTGAAGCTTAATGATTTGAAAGTTGTGAGTTATTCTCTTTAATCTTCTTCCTTGAATATTAATTACTTCCTATTCATATCCCATATTAATATATTGAGCATTACTTAAAGTATCAACTAGTTTTGTTCCATATATTAATTATTACTAGAACCAATCGATTAATACGCTTGTTATTAATTCGATTCTTTCAATGGTAGTAAACTTTGATTGTTAATGCATGCTTCTCATGGTTAATAAGCCAAGGAGAATTAATTATATTGATTAAACCAATAAACCGCTTGTGTTGAGGTTATCAACCTCAATCGTTTTCATCTTAAGTTTATTGCTACTATCAAGTTAATATATGGCGCTTGTTCTATATTAACTCGATAGTAAGTTTTATTAATGAACGCATCTCGTTATTACTAACTACCCTCGATGAACTGGATATACTCCTCGATTGAGTATTCGAGAGGAAGATAGTTGATGGAGTATATGGCCCAGGAACCCCCGGCCCATAGACTCCTACTTCTCCTACACAAGCCCATTGAGCCCAGGGAGCATCTCAGGCCCAAATGATGCGGCCCAAGCCTCAAAGGGGCCCAGAATACACGCTGGGGTGCCTTCGGCCTTCTTGGCCGAAGGCTCCAAATTACACAGGGCATCCAGTTTCGAGCATACGAAGCTACTGGGGAAAAACGGCAGAAACGGGAACCATCGGCAGTATAAGCCCTCGGCATGAAGGGAAGCCTTCGGCTACACAGGCCTTCTGCTACACGAAGCCCTCGGTAGGACGAAGCCCTCGACCCCACGAGGAGCCTTCGGCCAAAACAGCTCAATCATCGAAGATTCCCTTTGGAGACAGCCAACCACCGCATTTAATGCGACGTCACATCCACCCACCGCATTCAATGCGGTGAACGTGCCGCTGCCAGTGCCACCCGATTGATGTGACCCTTCGGCCGTTGGATTGTTGACACGTGTATTCTCATCGCATTTATTGCTGCTATAAATAGCAGCCCCTTTCTCCTTGTAAACGATCCCAGATCCCATCTCTCACACTTTGAGTTCATTTAATAAAATCAACTCTCTCTCCTCCTATTTGCTCTGACTTCTCTCTAAGTTATTTCCGCAATAACCCCTCGGATAAGATACCCCCCGGGTAGACTATCCATCATTAGGTGCTCTCGTTGAGAGGTCTGAACAATCAAGTAAGAAACCCTCCCCTTCACCAAACAAAAACACCTACTAACATGGGGAGAACAACTCGTGCTCAATACAAAACCCTCGAGGAAAACCATGTACCCATCGGCGAGACGAACGGGGCTGAGGCCTCCAACCGTATTCCCGAGGGCAACACTATCACTGAGATAGAGCAGGCCGCCGCTGACCTCCGTCTCAAACTCCAAAAGGCTGCTCCTGATGCCCGCATAGGGCTTGATAATCGAAAGAGGGATCGGAGTGAGAACCAAGTTCCCCCTCCGGCCCCGACTATCGATCTTCAGGCTGCCTTTGCGGCCTTCGTCCAAAACATGGCTCTCAACTCAGGAGCCTTCGCCACTCAGGCATCCCTCCAGCCTCAAGTTGGAGGGAACTTTATACACTTCCCTCCGCCTCCTCCATTCAACAATCCCATCATGGGGATTGGAAATGCCGAGGGGGTGGTGGCGCAACACACCGCCTCCCAAGAGGCCCAATCCAAAGACAAGCGCCCCATCAACAAGGAGAAGCCCCGGACCTCCGCACTTGAGAGGCTGGGGGGAGCTCCCGGGCACCGAGGGGTCCAAGACCGCCTCGGTAAGCAGGCATTCAGCAGGCCCCAGGAGAGTGGAGCCTCCGCTTCGGGTGCCGAGGGCATGCCTCCCCCTCGGCGCAAAGGCAAAGCCCTCCTCCATGCCGATGACGCCAGGCACCAAATCAACCACGTCCAATCCATCCGGGCCAACTCTCAGGGGATTCCTCCGAAGGACCCCAAGGACGAAATCATTGAAGCCCTCCTTCGTCAACTCAGGAGACACGACAGGCGCCTCCTCCCCAGGGCCCCCCTCATCACCAAGGGCCTCCGCCGAAGGCTAATAAGTGGGTGAACCCCAACACCATCCCCTTGGGAAACCCACAGGGGAAGAAGCGTGAAATTAGGGGTCGGGATGACGAGGGAGAGGGCTCCCATCAGCAGTACAAGCGCCACATCCACATGATCAATGGTGGCAACACTGGTGGAGACTCCACCAGCCAACGAAAGAAATGGGCTCAATCCCTCTACGTTGGGGAAGTCAGCCACATGCCCACAACTAAGAGGCCGAAGGGAGAGCCCATCTTCTTCACAGATGCGGACCTCCCCTCGGGCTCTCTGCCTCATAGGGATGCCCTCGTCATCCGCACGGAGATCAATGAATCCATCATCCTTCGGACTTACGTTGACACGGGGAGTTCTGTCAACGTTATGTACCTCAGCACTTTCCAAGAGTTGGGACTCGACAGGGGGTCCCTTCGGCACATCAACACCCCCCTCTCCAGGTTCACGGGGGGCAACATAGACTCCGAGGGCGTCATCACCCTCATGGTTGAATTCGGCGACGGGTCCCATAGAGCCAAGCTCGAAGTGGAATTCGTCGTCGTCAACCTTGACTGCGCACACAACATCATCCTCGGCCGGCCTGCCCTCGAGGACTTGGAAGCCGTCGTCTCTATGAGGCATCTTTGCCTCAAGTTCCCCACACCCATCGGCATCGGCTACTCTAGGGGGAACCAGAAGCTTTCCAGGGCATGCTACCTTCAACTCACCAAGAAGGTTAGTAAAACTGAGCTCCGAATTGATACGATTACCGCCAAGACCCTGGAAGAAGAAGAAGGCAGGCCGAGGGTTGAACCTGCCGAGGACACCGAAGATTTCGTACTCGATCCGGCCAAGCCGGAGAGAGTCCTGAAGATTGGAGCCAAGCTCCCCGAAGACCTGAAGACCGACATCACCAAAGCCCTCCGCGCCTACTCCATTGTTTTTGCATGGGGGCCGGAGGATATGCCGGGAATTGACCGAAGGGTCATCACCCACCGC